AATCAGGGTATTTCGCAGGATTTTCTCGCACCGCTTTCTTCAAACTTAGTAGCCATCCACAGTAACGAACACTTTCATTATTTATGTCTAGGTGAGCTAATGTGGGTTGTGGTTTTCGGGACAACGCATCAGCAATTACGTTATACTTTCCCTTCCGATATTGTACTTCAAAGTGATGTTGTAGTTCTAAGGCCCACCTCGCAATTCTACCAGAAGGATTATCGATACTATTTAGCCATTTTAAGGCCAGGTGATTCGTGATAACTACAAAGTGGTATCCTTCTAAATACTGCTTCATCTTACGTACGCCCCAGACTATTGCCAGACATTCTTTCTCAGTGGTTGTATATTTCTTCTCTGCAGGATTTAGAGTACGACTTGCATATGCGATAACCTTTTCCTCTCCTGATATTGTCTGCGTTAATATCGCTCCTAGCCCAAAGTCACTGGCATCTTTTTGCAATATGAACTGTTCGTTGAAATTCGGACATGCTAAGACGGGAGCACTCGTTAGTTTCTCTTTTAGTTTATCAAATGCCGCTTGTTGTACTTCTGTCCAATGCCAACGCTTACCCTTTTTCAGCAACAACGTTAGCGGTTGAATAGTACTGGAAAACTGTGGTACAAACCGGCGATACCACGAAGCGATACCAATGCATCTTCGTAACTCCTTGAGGTTACACGGGGGTGGAAGGTCTTTGATTGCAGCTATTTTTTCCGGATCGGTGTGAATGCCCTGAGGTGTTACTAAGTGTCCTAAGTACTTGATTTCCTTGGTGAAAAATTGACATTTTTTAACATTCAGTTTCAACTTCGCTGCCTTCAATCGTCGAAAAACTTCTTTCAAATTTGCCGTGTGCTCTTCTAATGTGCGTCCAATCACTATTATGACATCCAAATAAGCAAACGCATGAGGTTCCATGTCGGGGCCAATAACACTATCAAGGGCTCTCTGAAATGTTGCAGGGGCCGAATGTAATCCAAAAGGCATCACCCGCCATTGAAACAACCCTCATCCAGGAACTGTGAACGCAGTGTACTGTTTGCTGTCTTGTGCCATAGGAATTTGCCGCTTTTTAAGTCCAGACTGCTAATATATTTGGCATCGCGGAGTTGGTTCAATATATGTTGAATACGTGGGATGGGATAGGCATCTGGAATTGAACGAGCATTGACCTGTCGGTATTCAATGCACAGCCGCCAACTTCCGTCCTTTTTTTTACTAATACGACTGGAGAACTGTATGGGCTATGTGACCGTTCAATACAACCTTGTTTGAGTAGTTCAACTATTTCATTATCCAACACTTTTTGCATCGCCGGGTTTCTCGGATAGTACCTCTGTTTGATGGGGCGATCGTCCTTCATTGTGATTGAATGCGATGCAATGTCAGAAAGTCCTTCCATCGTTTCAAATTCAGCTAACTCTGTTTCTAGGAACTTCTTTATATATTGCTCCGCATCAAAAGTGGAATTTAACGAGACTGGACTCAAATTGGTCTTAGAGAAGTGACCAAATTTGACAACATTTTACCCTATGCAGAACGTACCTGATGCTGTGTTCAAAAAGTCCATCCCCAAGACAATATCATGAACCATTCCCTCCAATACTAACAAACTCACCTGGTATTTATCTCCTCCCAATTGCAAGCACGTATCAATGATGTTATTCACATGCCGTGGTGAGCCATCAGCGAGTCGGACTACTACGTTTACGTCAGAGATGTTACCTGTAAGACAGGATACTACGTTCGGACGAACAAAGCTTTTACTTGCACCTGTGTCAATCATGGCTGTGAGTGCTCGACCTTGGATGCTTATTTGTGCAAAGAGTCGATTGTGTTCAATTACAAAGGGTGTTGTGTCGGTACTAGATTTATGGCCACGTCTCGCCTTTCTGGAAGACGCGACCTTTGCGCGTTTCCCGATTGTTTGCGACAGCAGTCAATAGTTCGCACTCCACGTCTCCCACACTGCCAACAGAATAAAACTCGTGGATTTCGACACATGCGCGCTAGATGTCCAGATTGACCACATCGAAAACATGCCGTTGTTAAATTTATAGGCTCGATGACAGCAATTGTCATAGGTTTGACTCAACGTTCAATCAGCATCGGTGTTTCTTTTGGTTTAGAATTTTTCTGTTCGTTTCTCAAGGATTCAAAATCGCTAGTTAACGCAATGAGCTCGTCCAAGGTGTTAAACTCCCTACGTTTGACATACATTTTGTACTCAACCAAATTGTTCCTGTAGAATCGTTCGAGTTTCTCGTCTTCATTTAGTTTTAGATGTCTCATTAGTTTTTGTAATTCCAACACATACTTCTTAAACGGCTCTCCCGGTTTCTGTAGTCTATTCCTTAGTTCGTTCTCCAACCGCTCAAAATACAGATGTGGCAAAAAAAACTTCAAGAAATCCATTTTAAATGTTTCCCAGTGAATCCAATCTCTTTTGTTGTGTCTAAACCATACCAGTGCGTTTCCTTTGAGTAACTCCGGCATTGTACGAGGCAACATGTTCATTGGTATTGCATAAACGTCCGCTAATTCCTCCACTCGCTCTATGAACGCCAAGGGGTCGCCGTTGTCATCGTATCGGATCGCCCATTTTCTGACCTGATCAATGACGCTTGCCTGTGTGTTCCTCTGTGGAAGATATGAGTGTAAGTCATATTGTGGATGTGAATGTAATTGTCTTGTCGATGCTTCATTGACCATGATATGTCGCCCTGAACCTTCGACGTAATCTCTGTTCTGTGTATATTCTATGTCGCTGCTCCTATCGAACGATTGATGTACTGTCGCAAGCTGTTGACTATGAGGCACGTGTAAAGTATATGCAGGATCTTGACTTGGTGATGCTAAAACTGTTGTCTTGGTTTCTTCAGTATTTTTATCCATATTTAATTCTTCACTGGAGCTCTTGCAATGTTTGCTTTCTAATTCATTCAACCGAATAACTATTATAGGTGCATGTTCTCCCTGTGCTACGAAGTTGGTTAATCGCTTTCGCAAGTCTTCGACTGTACCAGTTGTATCCAGGCCAAACTCTTCTAGATATCCAATCAAATCGTCTTTTCGTAAATATCGGATTTACGTTCTTCCCATGTTAGTTATGTGTATTTCACCTCGTTATTGATGTTAAAACAGTTGCTATTCGAATCGTGAAGTGCTGGTCTCAGGGTCCCTGCTCGGGCGCCACTTGTAATGAACCTTTCTTGTGGTTCGTATAAAGCTGGGGTTGAACTCAGCCGTCCCCAAGGTCCACTCAAGAAATTTATTTAATGAGACCCTGTCACTTCTGATTGCTCCTAACGTCTTAGCTGAAGATAAGTTGGATCGAATACCAATCGGAATCACAGACGCAATGGAATCACTGACAGAAATCGACACGATATAATACCAGCACACGTGACTGTTAAAGCTACGCGAGTGGTATTACAGGTCGCCGATCACACGCCCTTCCCTGTTCACTGTTAAAGCGCCCAGGGGCCGGAGACGTTAGGTTACTATTAAAGCTACCTATCGCTTCCGACACTATGGTATAGACTCACGTGACTGTTAAAGCTACGTGAGTTATACCCCGTGCAACCGAGATTCAGTCACTATTGAAGCCCCGAATCTTGCTTACCTATGTCTCTCAATTGTGCCGTTGAGTTGGATTCCCACTTTGAATTTGCACCGTTCAGGAGTAGCTAGTTTATGTTGTACTTTATCAATTCTGTATTTGTTGAAGTATCTAGTTGCGTTTATTGACTTTTATTGATTTTTAATTTATTTTTCTTTTAATTTATTTATTCGTTAGAAAAGAAATTGTTAAGATTTATTATATTAACAAATAAATAATTATGTATAACATTTAATTTGTACGTACTCTTTATTTTGCTTTACATCCACTTGTAAAATTCAATTATTAAGTTTTCACAATTTATTATTACAAATTTTGAAATTTCGATATTAACAAATTTAATAATTTAATTAATTTAATTTACTTTGAAATAATTTTTATGTTCAAAATATTAGTTTGTGCGTACTTTTTACTTTGTTTTAAATTTAGTTGTAAAATTCAATTTTTAGGTATTCACAATTTACAAATAAAATTTTCGATATTTCGATATTATCAAATATATATAATCTCTATGTACAAAATTTTAATTTATACGTACTTTTTATTTTTACTTTGTTTTGACTTTGGTTATAAAATTCAATTTTTATTTAAATGTTCACAATTTATAAATACAAATTTTGAAATTTTCGATGTTATCAAATATATATAATCTTTATGTACAAAATTTTAATTTATACGTACTTTTTATTTTTACTTTGTTTTGACTTTGGTTATAAAATTCAATTTTTAAGTGTTCACAATTTATAAATACAAATTTTGAAATTTTCGATATTATCAAATATATATAATCTCTATGTACAAAATTTTAATTTATACGTACTTTTTATTTTTACTTTGTTTTGACTTTGGTTATAAAATCCAATTTTTTTTTAAATGTTCACAATTTATAAATTCAAATTTTGAAATTTTCGATGTTATCAAATATATATAATCTCTATGTACAAAATTTTAATTTATACGTACTTTTTATTTTTACTTTGTTTTGACTTTGGTTATAAAATTCAATTTTTATTTAAATGTTCACAATTTATAAATACAAATTTTGAAATTTTCGATATTATCAAATATATATAATCTCTATGTACAAAATTTTAATTTATACGTACTTTTTATTTTTACTTAGTTTTGACTTTGGTTATAAAATTCAATTTTTAAGTGTTCACAATTTATAAATACAAATTTTGAAATTTTCGATATAAACAAGTTTAATAATTTATTTAGTTTAATTTAATTTAAAAGAATTTCTATGTACAAGATATTAGTTTGTACGTACTTTTTACTTTGTTTTAAATTTGATTATAAAGTTCAATTTTTACGTTTTCACAATCTTATAATTACAAAATTTTAAATTTTTTATATTGACAAATTTAATAATTTATGAACAAAATTTTTCACTAAGTTTGAGAAACTACTAAAATTTCACTGTTGACACCGCCGTCTTAGTCAAGGAATTTTAGCTGCAACTGAAGCCAGAGCCAGGAGTCTTTCTTTCGCGGTAGAACAAAAACAAGAGACCTTCTTCTTGGTGAACGCTCCTTTTATCTCCTCCATGGTCAACGGTGTCAGCTGTAAAAACGTTAAAGTTTGTTGACCCAACATTAAAGCTCCTTTTCTGTACCGCACTGAGCGAAAGTTTAGTTTCACGGCGAATTTACATTTCTTTGAGTACCTATTGCAATTTAGAAGTGGTTTTTGTCTGAGTTGCGATCCACTTCTACACCTTTTCTGCACAAAGCTTTCTTCGTATGACAGGTCTCTTTACTATTATTTTGTTTTGATCTCGTTTGTTTGTTAGCAATGTGTTGTGCCGGTGAACGTGTGTATTTAATTCTATTAATTAGAAAATTATTTTAAAATTATTTTATTTTCCAATAAAGTTTCACCAAAATAGAATACCCAACGATCGCTCAAGATATGTGTCTTATGTTATGGTTTTATTCAAAAATTGTTCACGCACTAACCAAGGATTTCCATAAAATTTTAAGATTTGTCAAATTCAAAGTCACGTTGTTGGTGGCAGAGAATTGAGGTGAGTTGGTTTAACTTAATGTTTTTATAAGTATTTAACAATTTTTATTACAGGAACCTTCGAGTGAGTGTTACTTGTTGTGTGTTAGGTGGTCGTGTTGTGTTTAGTAGGCAGCTATACCAACGACGTTGTAACGATTAAATTTTAATTAATAAAATTTTGTATCATTACAAATGATTTGTAATAATTTAGACATAATAATGATGATAGATAATCGAAAACCTTTATTTTAATTTAATTATTTGTTTTGTTGTGAAAGCGAATTTTTATGCCCATAATGTTAATGACTTGATATCTTAGCCTTGAACGGTGGGTTAAGATATCAACATTTAGCAAAAACAACAACAACAATTGTATATCACGAGCACACTTTGCTCGTCATATGAAACTGCAGATAAGCCATGCATTTGGCATGTGCAATATTTTAATGCAAACATTATGAGAAATGAAAATTCGTTTGTGCAAGGTCAGTATTATAATTATTAAAATAATAATTATGTTTTTAAAGCAAGCTGGTATATGGACTTAGTGCAAGGTTAAAAGAAATTAAGTTTATCAGCATATACCAGGTTGCTAAGAAATTACGCAAGTAATATTTCTTATTTGTTATTCGTAAATGCATACAATTTCCATGAGAACTGTGACCGTTCCCATGACTAAGCTGAGCGATATCTAAGCGCTACTTTAATGCAGCTTAAGGTATAGGGCATTATCGTGGGAATTGTATATATTAACACCTTGCCAAATTTGTATAAAACACAAAATTTTGTAATAAACATTCATTCAATACCAAACATTCCTTGAGTTTTAATTAGTTCAAGTGCTCATTAAAACTTAAACGCAAATAGGTTCAAGTGCATAGTTGCTTAAAAATATTATTTGAATTCACCTGAAGTTGGTTCAAGTGCCAAATTCAAGTTTTGCAATAGGAACTGGTTCAACATAAGCAACACTGAATCGATTCAAGTGTCGATTCAGTTTCAATAAAAAAACGACCTATTGAACATTATTATTAAATATTACTTAAATTTAATAAAAAATTTACATTTTAAATAACTTATATTTATTATTTATATTTAAAAAGTCATACCCGAGAAAATTTTTAATATAATATAAAATATAAACGTAATAATATGAAAATATTGATATTGATGGATTTTATAAGTAATGGAAATTTTACAAAAATGTTCATTTTCCTTTAGAAAAGAAAATCACAAATTAAAACCTTGAAAATTAGTTATAAAAAAATAAGTTTTGCTCATTATTTGACCTGTATGAGCTGTGATGATCACACAGGTAACCGCAAATTTATTTTTGCATTATAAAATTTTGATTTTTTTGTTGTAGTTACAGTTATTTTACTGTTTATGGAAAATGTTTAAATCCTTTATTCTGGGAAAAGAAATACATAATATTATAAGGAAGTATCTAAATAAAATGTAAATTAGTGTATAAGCAAAATTGTATAAAAGAAATGAATATTTGAATTAATATTTATTTTTAAGAAATATAAAAAGCACGTTTGTATGGTACGTCATACTCACACTTTTTTGTTTCCTTATAAATTTATAAAATAAATGTGTTCTATATTCATTTTCTAAAGGAAAATGTAAATTTTTATAATATTTGCATTACTAATAAAATCCATCAATATTTTTATATTATGGTATTACGTATATATTTTATATTATATTAAAAATTTTCTCAAGTATATAAATATAAATAATAAATATAAGTTATTTAAAATGTAAATTTTTTATTTAATATAAATAATATTTAATAATAACATATTTAATAATAATATATATTAAAATACATATTTAATAATAAAATAAATTTTATAATAATTTGTTATCGGGCTAATTGGTCAAATTTAAATATAAATAAAAAGACACTTATTTATTATTTATATTTAAAAATCATTTATACTTTATTTCCGATATTTCGACTATCTTCGATAATCATCTTCAGGGAAAACTACACAAAATATAGGATGTTCCATTTTTATAGCGGATTATAAAGAAAAATCATACAATAAATACAATAATAATGATGACAACAAGAAAAAACAACAATAAAAACACAAAAATCAAAATAAAAATTATGAAAAAAGCTTTACAAACATCCTGCGTCATTTGTTTATAATATTGCTATAAGCCTGAGCGCAGTTGTCCGTATCAGTTTTATAATTAAGTCTTATATTATTGCGCACTTGAAGTATTGAGAGCATTTCCAGAAAGTACCTCTTATTATGGTTCCTTTCTTCATATAAAATTTTTGCCTTATTAAAATCAGGAGAAGAAAAGAATAACAGCAAGAACACTAAATACAAGAGGACTTCTCAACTCAAGCGATTTTATTTCTACACACATTAGGCCTTTCAAGAGGAACGCGGAGATTTTGCGTTGGTTGTGTAGAAATTGTTTTTGATTTCTCTCTATAGTACACATTTTTGATTTACGTACTGCTACATGGGCGAATGTAGCATTAATCAATGCTCGAAGTTTCCAACAACAATTTGCTTTAGTTAACTAACACAATAGAAAAAAGGCACCACCACATCTCTTCTTCATTCTTATTGCACACTTACTATATGATTTCGTACACAAGAGTAGGTGAAGCAATATTTCTGAAGTTAATGCATAGTCTCTGTGTTTTATATTTTTCTTAGAATAAATGATTGACTTTGTGTGCATGCAATGCACAAGTAGTTTCCAATTAATATAAATTTGATTTTTGATCAAATTTTATTCTGGTATTCTAGTATATTTGTATGAGAAATATATGAGGTTTTCGTATTATGAGGTTAGTAAGCACCGGCAGTAGTACATTACTATGCCCTATAGTAGCAATGATATGAAGTATATTTATAAACACCATATTGTTTTTTAAAATTTTTTATTATTAAATTTCAAAACATCAATTTATTATAAACATTGCATTTATTCTAAAATCTAATCTTACATGATAACTTATATAATTTACGAACTATTTACGACCTATTTACAATAATTATTATTAACTTATCACTAAGGACATGGCTTGAATGCCGTTAAAAAATTGTATATACATCTGAATTTTGCTTCTACTTACTATACTGAAATAAAATAATTTTTCTTCTTTTTGTTTCCCTCAGAAGAACAAATGTAATGATATGTCGTGAAATGTGTAAAGGTCAGATAAATTTTTATACTCTATAATTTAAGCTTAAAGTTTTTTTAATTTGTTTAATATTTTTCTTTCATCTTTTTTAACGACTTTTATAACTTCATTCTTTTGAGAAAGCCATTTACTGTTTTTAAAGAGCAAAACAGTTATCAAAAAATCCAAAAGTTGTTTTCTATGCTCTGAACAAATATTTTCACCATGAAACCAATCTTTATGTTCGCTTTCATTTGTCCTTGTAATAATTTCTTTTAAAATATGTTTTTTGATATTTGCGTGATGCTTCAAATTAAAAAACATATTTTTATATATGTCAAAGTGAAATTGGCAAACGACATAAAACAGTTTACTTGGATTAATTAAATGAAGACTGCTTGTATAACTTTTATTCTTTATTAAAGTTTCGGTTGAATCACCATCTAATTCAATATTAATTGCCAATTCCAAGCATTTCTTGCACCCAATCTTTTTTAAAAATGTTTTCAAAATTCCATATCCGGTGAAGTACCTTCCAATTTGAAGTTCCAAAATGTTATCTTCTTCCTGATATATTTTGAGTTCTTTCATTTCTATATCAATTGTTTGTGTTGTATTATTGGTGCAAGACACTAAATTTTGATTTTCTTCAGCCTCTTCAGTGGCATACTTCCATTCCAAAAAATCTGAATTATCATCTTCACAATTGTTATTTCTAGTTTTATATTTATTTGAAATAATCTTCATTGAAAGCAGACGTGCAAAGATATGCTGTATTTCAAATGCTGAAGGATGATTGTTGCAATAGCCTCTGGCGCGAATCTTGAAAAATAAATTTTCCAATGCATCCTGGTTGCATTTCCCAGTTAAAATAAATGAAACGCTTGGAGTTGTACTAAATATATTTTCAATAAGTTGCATCATAGAATTGAGAGTCAAAATCAATCCCGTTATACATTGCACTTTCGATTCATTCGGCAATTGAAAACTTTTTAAAAACTGTATAAAATCACGAACTGATTGCATTTTATCGACACTATTTTTAAAAAATGGTCGTTTTAATGGATTTTTATCGTTTAAGTTTTTACAATTGATGATATCGAACATATCATTCATTTTCTTAACGAATTTTTGCGTCGGATCCAAACAACTTTTAAAGTAATTGTCTTTGTCATTGAAAAGGTTTAATTCCATATAAGTTCTAATTGCGGAAGAAACGGAGTTACTTAAAAGTTGTGTGGCCCTTGATACGCTCATCTTTTCAAAATCGTTTGGGTGAATGTGTTTTTCTGTGATTTTTGGCATCATTTTAAAATTGCAATTATACTTTTCACGGTCATAAATTGCTTCAATAATTTTCATACTAGCAATGCCATCACTAGTTTGAATGTCATATTTAAGTAATGTGTTTCGTATAGACTTAAATAGGTGGCAATAGTCGTATTGAACGAAGACTTTTTTATCTTTGAATACAAAATATGGCTCTTCCTGACTAATGGTTAATAAAGAAAAAAGCCTTTGATTTGTAGCTGACTGATCACATAACACTACAATGGGTCTAAGGTCAATTGATACAAGAAGTTCCAGGTTTCGTTCAAGTATATCCTTCAAAACGTTTCCTAGTAATACAACGTTATGATTTCATAAAAATCGTTAAAAATACTTTCTTACCTGTTGCACCTCCTTTAGTTAAATAGTAAGCTAGAATATATTTCCAGTTGCTACAAACTCCTTTTATCATAAGCGTCAAACATTTGTTGGCCTCTTCAGGAAAACGTCTATCAGAACCAAAATCTACGAATCCATCGATTTGGTCAGTGAATTTATTGTAACATAAATCCCTCCGTATAGACATTTCATCCAGAATAACAGCACATATTTTTTCTGCTTGACTTTTTTTTGATGCCACTATCCTCAAATTCTGAATTACTCTTGTGTCAGTACCCGTTTTCATGAATTTTATTGGTCGCCAGCGATGCAAACTTGCTGTGCTCGGCATATTGAATTTTAATTCGTCTCGCATAAATTTATATAAAGAAGCCGAAACATATTCAATATTTTGAGCTAAATATTGTTCTTCTTTATTATAAATGTGTCGTTCACTGACAATCATTTTAGCAAAAGTTAAAGCTTCCTGACTAGCGTTTTCTGCTGGTAAAATACATAGCTTTTTTAGTTTTTCATTTTCATCCTTGTAGTATTTTTTTGATTTGCGCAAGGATGCGATTTTTTTGTTCAAAGTAGCA